TTTTACGGTAGTATACCGTTTTTGGAAGTGAAAAATACCGTATAATTTACAGTGAATAACCGTAAATTGACATTCCCAGAATTCTCTGCGTTACATTTCAAATTTCAAATTTGATGTTTTTTTGTTGAAATAACTGTTTCTTCTTATTTTTTTCTTATCAGTTTTGTATATTAGGGTTGTGTGTTACACCTAATGTTGTTAAATGAATGTTTATTGCATTATTTCAGTTTCATGTGTGTTACCATGATGGTGTTTAGTGCTTGTGTGAATGACACTGTGCGCACCTTCTATATTTTGTTATTATTTGTTATATTATTATTATTATTATTATGTATGTTATTATTTAAAAGCTGCTTGTGATGGGTTTTGGTTCATCATGTGACTTTCTCATCACCACCTGCATTTGGTGGTTATCAGTGTATTACAAAACAGATTTCAGTACTTTAATAGGTTGGTATATTAACATTATATCAGTTAATGAAATTACAGTATTTAACTGTAAATTTAAGTTAAAACCGTAAAACGTAAAATGTTGCTACTGTATTTGTTACAGTAAAATTCCAGCAACCACAGCTGCCGGTTTTTTACCGTACATTTTATGTTTTTTTTTACAGTGTATATAGCACCTTTCAAACACCCAAGGACACTTTACATAAGGTAAATAACAGATAGTATACAACATATAAACAGCCAAACAGCAGACAGAGGTGAAATAATATGCAATATACAAGATAAGTTACAAAAGCATAGAACAGAAAATTAAGGCAAGCAATTAATTAAGAAACATTGTAAATAGGTGAGTTTTGAGAGCAGTTTTAAAGGTCTGGAGTGAAGAGATAACAGAGATATTGTGGTAGTTTATTCCAGAGCTTGACAGCGGAAATGCAGATAGCCAGAATTTGGATACTGCAAGCATATTTTCAGAGCTCGATCTCAACGTATGGGCAGGGACATAGGAGAGAATTAATTCAGAAAGGTAAGAAGGTGCTAAACCATGACGGGCCTTGAAAACTAAAACAAGAATCTTAAACTGAATACGATAGCGGACATACGATGTGGGCAGATTTTTTTGGTAAATGTAAAAACACGAGCAGATGATTTTTGGATAAGCTGCAAGCGATTAAGGACTTCGTTGGGTAGGCCAAAAAACAAGGAGTTACAGTAATCCAGACACCCGTCCCAGAGCGACACCCCATAAGCACCACCACACTCACTAATGCATACAGTTTGCGTCTGAGAGCATTCTGAAAGACTGCTTGTGTGACATCAACATGTCAATTTTTAAATTTGAAAAAACATCTTTAAATTTCAAAGATGCTGAAACTGCTGTTCATGCGTTTATTGAGCTGGGTGGAAAAATCACAGTATACTCACTACAAAAAACTAGACTAGGCCTACACCACTGCCCAAAACACACTACGTAAAAACAATTTTTTAATGGTTAAAAGTTGATGGTTTGTAATGTTTGTAATGGTATTTGTAGTGGAAACCAATAGAATTTTCTGTGATGGTTCTATTGAGGTTTTTTTTTTCAGCAGGGAGGATCCCGCTAGCAAGTCGCTTTTGACGTTTGTTTTCAGAAATGATTGTGATATAACGCTGGGATATTAAGAAATACATACCTAATTTCCATCATGCGCTCCAGAAACTGTATAAACGACTTGTACAGCGTTGTCACCACACCTTATTAATTCCGATGTATTTATTTATAGTGATGTTACGTTTAACGCAAGGTTCTCCGACAAGGTGCTCCGAGAGACCAGCATCGCTTATGTGTTTACTGCTGTGTCAGCGCGCGGTTAAGTTTCACATTCGATATCTCTTAATCCTGGCTCGATCAAACATTACGTTGATTGAATAATGGTAGGCTAAATACAAGCACTACACACAGTAATATAAGAACACATATTTAGAAAACTTTTAATGGCCTACTGTGTAATTATTTATAATTATTATTACAAATTGATAGGCTATTAGTAGCTAATTATTTAGTTGTATTTAATTATTATTATTAGGCTGTTTGATTACATTTAATATATTAATGAAAACGATTGCAGCGTTGGTTTGTAAATGTGTCATTCATTATACATGTTTGGATTGAGTTTTCAGTGGATTTACACCCTTTTGATCAGCAGATGCCGGCAGCATGTGGAGTTTTGAGCGATTAGAAACAGTGAATCATTTTGCGAAGCAATTGATTCATTTGATTCAGATGAACGAAAAGCTTCATTTCGCTCCTTTACCCAAACTTCTTCATCTCGGGTGTTCATCATCACATCATATATATCATGTTTTGTCACAAACAATTAAGTAAAACGGAGTTAACTACTCGAAAACTCGAAATAATTGACTGTAGATGTGCAGTTTAGTCAGCAATTAAGTCTGAAACGTAATTGTTTCTTTTTATTATTATTTCACAGAGAACGTGTGCGTTTTGATTTTTATGAATGTTAAAATTTGAACTTGTTGTTATTCAGAGGTGAAAATCTAGGAAAAAATCATTAAAAATCCACTAGATCTATTTCTATTTTTGTTATTGTCGGTATGCATGTAATGTATGTAGCATGTGTGTATGTAGGCTATTATGATGTCTTTAACTTCCTCTTGGATGTGGTTAAAATCACCCTGTTAATTGGAAAGCTGTGAGGTAAAGTTTATTCTCTGAAGTCCTGTGAAACAAACAAGACTGAATCATGCTGAAGTGTTTTAATATCATGAAGATGATGTTCCTTCTTTTCAGTACGTTTACTGTCCATTGTACATTTCTTATGACAGTTATCATGAGGATTTATGATGTGTTAGCACAAATGTTTTAAATCTGTATTATCTGATTTTGTTTTCCCGACAGATCTGCTCAGATGGTGTCAAATTGCTGAGACTTTAACAGATTTGAAAAAAAAAAAAAGTGACATAAACTGTGATGTAAAAGAGGTGACATGGCTGTTACTGAATCCACCAGATCCTCCAGTTCTGATATTAAGCTCCTTCTCAAACCCACCAGCAACATTTTACTTCAATAGATTCAAACAGAAATATTCAGTGCAGCCTAAGCATCATGTCACGAATCCGGTCTATGAACTTCCGTTTGTTCACCACTAGAGGTCATTAGTGGATAATGACCTCTTGTGGTGAACAAACGGAAGTTCATAGACCGGATGCGGAGGTCCACCACATGGACTTTTTTTCTTTTCTTTATTCAATTTATTTGTACAGGGACAACGCACAACAACAGTGTTGTGCCAGAGTTAGCTATAAAGCTAATTTGTATCTGCAGTCCCTGGGCAGGATGTTGTTATAAAATTACAATATTAAGTCACACACAATACAGTACACACAACACATACAATATACAATATCACATCATACTCCATTAAATTACAAAACCAAGTCAATGATCACATATTTGATTTTCCTTAAGCCATACTTTAAGCGTAGTTTTAAAAATACTAAATGTTGTACACTCTCTAATATTAACAGGTATTAAATTCCATCTTTCTGCTGCTCTAACTGAAAAAGCTGATTGTCCAAAAACAGTTTTCTTAAATTTAGTTGAACAATCACCTCTAACTGATGACCTAGTCTGCCTGATATTATCCTTACAGAAAGTCACACATTGTTTAAGAGGTGGTGGTGCAAGATCATGAAATAGTTTGTACATCAAGCACACATCAGCAAATAATAAAAAATTGTCAAACGTCAATAATTTATCATTTTTAATAATATTGCAGTGATGATAACTCCTTGGCTTTTTAGCTAAGATTTTCACAGTTTGTTTATAAATAGTATATAATGGTTTTAACGTGGTTATACTTGTATGAGACCAACTTGTAGCACAATAAGATAAATGAGGGAGAATCATTGAGTGCATAAAGAGTTTAGCAGCAGCCACAGGTAATTGGTGCCTAATCCTAAAGATCATCAAGCTAGCTCTAGTACTTTTAGAGACCTTTTTAATATGTTTTTTAAAATTTAAGTTAGAATCCATAATCATACCTAAATCTTCCATGAACCTGTAATTCAATACCTTTATTGTTTTTATTATTTTTCTTTCGTACTCTATTAATATTCTCCCATACTTCTCTGCTATTCCCCTTTGCATCATTTATAAAATCAATAAAAAATTTTGCTTTCGCTTTTCTCAATTCCTTACAACTGTATTACGCAAGTGCTGAAATGTCCTTCTATCATGAGCTAACCCTGATTTAAGCGCTATTTTTAGAGCTTGGTCCCTCTGTCTCATTAACTTCCATAATTGTTAATTTAGCCAAGGCAAATTCTGCTTCTTTCTAGAAAAAGTGACATTTTTACTAAATTCACCCTTAATCTTATTAATTGTTACCATTAAACATTCAGAGGCAGCTTCTTAATTATCTGTAGACAGAATCTCATTCCAATCTAGTTTTTTTAATTCCTCTTCAAATTTGTTTTTAAGTCGTTTTGGTATAATATTTAGCACATTTTCTTTTTCTTGTTGATATAAAAACCTATATTTTGTTAATTTTCTTACCACTAATATAAGATTATGATCTGATAACCCTGTTAATAAATGTATTGACTTAGTTATTCTTTCTGGTTTGTTGCTAAATATTAAATCAATTTGAGTTTCAGATGATGAGGTGATTCTAGTAGGGCCCTGGATTAACTGTATGAGGTCAAAATGACTTACTATCCCCTGAAGCTTTTTCCTATTTGACTTCTCATTCCAATTTATATTAAAGTCTCCAACCAAAATTAACTCTTTATTTCGATCAAACCTCTTCAAGAGATTTCTGAGATGATCATAGAAAATACTACTTGATGAAGGAGGTCTATATATGCCCACTACAGTAAATGTCATACATGGAGATAAAACAATTGTTACAGCAATATATTCTATATCCACTAAAGTACTGAATTCAATTTCCTTACATTTAATGCAGTCCTTCACGTACATAAGCAGTCCACCACCTTTTCCAAATTTTCGATCCTTTCTGAAGACTTTATATCCCGGGACCAGATATGCAGTGTTTGGTGATGTTTCTGTCAGCCACGTTTCTGACAAGCAAAGCAAATCGAAGTTCGAATTTGTAAGTAACTGTTCCAGTTGTTCAGTTTTTGAGGCAACGCTTCTGATGTTTAAATGTCCCATAAGTAATCCTTTGGGCTTTGAACGCGAGTCCCATAAAAGTTTCTCATGATTTGCCATTTTAAACAGATGAAAATCCTTTGTCTCGTTGTGTGCACACAGTTTAAAAGTACCTTGTAGTCTGTTAACTCCAAAAGGCCGTGCATCGTCTTTAGGTCCAGGTCCTGGATTTTGATGAACGTCGCTCGCCAGAAGAAGAGTAATGGCTAAATAACTGATCGTTCTCCGGAACAATTGAGATGGTTTTCTTCTCTCGATAGATCGCAAGTGCTTTGTTGGAAAAGTCACTTTTCCATCGTTTAATATCACGGAAAAAGAAGTGAATTGGCTGCATAAGTCAGAGGTAGTAACAACAACTTGCGTGTCTGTCCACCGTTGATGTATGTTTGTTTCCCAACAGCAACGTAATGATAGAAACAAAAGGATAGCAGTATAGCCAATAACAATAATTTTCTGTGTCCTATCGGCAGTATTTTGGCATTGATTGACTCTAGTTTTGAAATCAAAGTGATCAGTTTTTAGTTTAAATTGGCAGCGTTTACACCTACAGCTCCTGCCCTGACGTCAGCGTGCGCCGCCATCTTTCACGAAGCTGAATCTTTTCAGCTGGCTTCTTTTCTCTCACACTCTCACACTACACAGACTGTCACACTCACCCTGGACTTCAGTTCCCACAAAACATAATCCAAAAAACTACTCAGTGACGAACGAGGACCCTTTTGAACCACTCTTGACTTTAAAGCATGGTTAAGACCATCACAGAAAAAGTCTATTAACATACAGTCAGGCAATTCTGAGCCATTTGCCAAAGCCAAATATTCTACTATGAGACCTGTTCCTCGAGTTAGAGACCTGCGCAAGATTCTGTCCCGCGCCCGCCCGCTCCCGCAGAAATAGGCCTATATCTTATCTGGTCCCGCTCCCGCCCGCAACATTCATGTTTTGTCCAGCTCCCGCCCGCAAAAGCCCGCATAAAAGTAATCTATATAGATTTTTTTTAGTACATCGAAGAAATTTACATGAAATGGTTCTGTAACATCTCCTAAACTCCACAACATCCCAGCATAAACACTCCCGATAAAATATTTGTTATTTAGGCTAAGCATCAACATTAACAAACCACTGTTATTTTTAACAGAAAAGCAAGCATGGGCTGCTGCGTGCATGGTTTGGCATGGCAGAATGCGAGCAGCGCTTCCTTTATTATCACTAAAAGCTGACATCTTAGTTAATCCGATATCATAAAGCTCTGTTATAACACAATAAATATATGCACAATGAATCGTTCACAGTGTCTACACTTCGTGTGTTAAAATGAGAGGATTCGAGAGCACGCAATTTCAGCACTGCAGTGAGTAGTTCTAACTCAATCACCTCTGATTGGCCATTGCTTTCCAGAAATCAACAGCTGAGTCTGTGATTGGCTACATTGCAACCCTTTAAACACGTGTTATAAATAGAAACTATGCCTAGCTCGCACGTCAATCATTTTAATGTTAATATTAGTTGTTCTTTTTGCTTTTGTGCAACAGATAAATAACAATTTATATGTTTTAGACTCAAGAGTTGTCCCGCGCCGCACTCTGTTGCGTTGGGTCCCGCGGGAGTGCAGGTCTCTACCTCGAGTGATCGTGTGCCCTG